TAAATGGCACACCAGCAAACAGAGTAGGAATGGATGCCAAGCTTGTCACTCCCCATCAGTGGTTTGGATGGATTTCCTCCTCAGAGAAACATTTTGAATGCTTGGGGCTAAATTGTGCACAGGCAAACAGGTGGTTTGCTTTACCAAAGGGCATGTGTAATGCTTAAGTGAACGAAAGCCAAGTTCTAGCAGATGTGCTATAGCTCACTCTGCTTGGTGGAAGGATATTTTTCATGTTATGTGTGGAAAAGAACAGTAACCCTGGTTCACTGGAAGAGGTCTTGGTCACAAAATAGCCATTAGCAAATGAGTCATCTCAATCACAGCAAACCACTGTAGGCTTCTTCTGGAACACATGCTGAGCTAGACCCAGCAAAGATCTGCGGGGAATTGAGTCAAAGCAGGCATTGTAATAGCGATACTACCAATCTTCCAATTCAAACTAATTACAGCACGACCCTGAACATATTACATTAGACGTTCCATTGATTTCCCGAAACTTTCATGTGTGCTTAGAACTCTGGATTTAGGGCCCTAATCTGGCTACATGTGCATGTAGCTCTATCAAACAATTAGCCGTTGCAATCAGCAGCTGCTTGGTGGAGCAACCAAATGCACCCTCCTGCTCCCATCCTCAGTTGTTTGGTGCTATTTTTGCTCCTCAGCTGAGGCTGTTTGAGTGCAGCCCGATCAGTTCCAAGAACTATTTGTCCAAAGGCCTTTCGGAATGACAGTCTTCATCCAGTAAGGGACACAGGTGTGGAATCTTCCTTCCATATACCTGCCCTTCCTAAGCATAGTGGAGATTTTAAAAATGTCTATACTGAAGGCTCCCATTCTGCTGTTTATGCAAAGCAGGGAGTTTGCCTCTTGAAAACTTCTCTAATCTAGGGTGGCATTTTCATGAGCCAGGAACATTGGCACCAATATGTTCTTATGCAAAGCTCTTGCCCAAGAGGTAGAACATCTTCCAGGATGGGAACCAGCTGCTGTTTGATCATCTGAAACTCTTCCACGGAGGCAGGCCCTCCGGAACCCATATTCAAACAGTTCATTGGGTGGCAGCATACACACACGTTTCTTGCATGTTAGTTGGACTGCAGTACAGTCCTGGGATCTAGAAATATATATGCACAGCTGAACTCCTGCTGTATGAGAGGCAATGTGCTGAGCGATGGCTTCAAGTCTCCACAGCGGATTCAATAAGGTTGCAGGGGAGTTATTCCTGCATTCCAGCTTCAGCTTTCCTCTATAATGATCTACCTATCTAAAAATACTGTCATCTAAAACAGTTTCTATCAATGAAAGACACAATGTGCATAAGATACACTCAATAAACTATGTATCTGAAATGCAAACACCTCAAATTTAGGTATGTAGATGCTTAATATTCAACCGGACCAATGTAGATTTGCTTTCAGTTATCTCTGGACGAGCACAGTGCCTCGATGGAGAAGGGGGCTTTTTATGCTGCTGTAAATGACAACAGGCTCCTGGAACAGATGTTGGCACAGCCAAGAGCTTTTTATTTTTTGCCATTCTGCATCTCCTTCCTTCATGGGAGACGATCAGCCAAGAAAAAGGTGAGTGGAAGGGCAGTTGCACTGGGTATGCCAAATTGTGTCTGTGTTTGGCAATCCCGCTGCAAGTCACTGCTTTTGTTCCTTTTAACAGCAGCTTGACATGTGCCTATTAGCAGGTGTTAATATGTATCTCCATGCCATAAAAACCTCCACCTATTTATTTTCCTAGATGAAGCTACAGTTAAAGGCATGGTAGCACCGCAAACCATTCCCACCCCTGCCCCACCACAGTTGTTTGACAACTCTGTTGCAATCCAGCAGAACAAGACGGTGAGCTGAGGTTGGAGCAGTGCTATTTGGAGCTGCCCCCGTGGAGCAGAATGAGATCCAAGCTTCAGCATTCACACAACTGATGGGTGGAAATTATCAGACTCTGAGAGCGAGAGCCATAATTACAGTTATACTTGCAGGAGGAGCAAACATCATTTGAACATCAAAACATAAGGGTGCTAAAAGATGCCGGTTGTTTCCAGATGAGGAAACCACAGAAAATGAAGGAAAAGTTGGCTTATCCAGGAATGTAACCAGTATGGTTTTAACACTCTGTGACATGGTTTGCATGACCACCGCAGCCCATTAAGGTGCCAGAAGGCAACAAGCGGCCAGTCCATGCACCATCTTCAGCTGCACCGTAGCATCTTCTCTTGTTCAAACATGCCAAGTGTGGCTTATTGAACAGTTGAACAAATCACCCCACAACCCTACAGCAGGCAACAGGTCCTGGGTGGACTGCCAACCACCCCAGCAAGCCAACACTGGTGGTTGAATAGAATGAGAAGTTGTGTCAGGCCAGGGTAATCACATGTGACTGGGATGTGCAGGCAGGGTGGTTAATAAGCCATCCTAGCTTGTGGATCACCTTGTGGTTGTGTGAACCAGGCCTTTGTGAAGTGGCATGCAGTCTTCCTTCAGTGAGCAAGTCAATGCATAAATTCTGCTAAGTCCCACTAGGAAAGAGTTGGATCCATTAGTCACTTGCCAGTCTCTCAGTAGTTGCAGAACATCATTCCTAGAACAAGTATCTGTGGCCCTCAATGAATCTGCTAGCAGCTGCTGCTAAAGTGCTTGTCCACCCAGAGCAACAGCATGGCTTCTGGTACTACTTCTAATGATAAGCATTTAGGCATCGGACCCATTATTGGAACAAAAAGCCTGGCATGAGGAGGAACGCATTTCTTTGTGCTCCTCAGCATGTCCAGAAATATGCTTTAAACTCAGTCTCTCTAATATAACAAGCTAACATCATGGATGAGAAACACACGTGCTATACGGAATCTGCAGACAATAAATGCACCACAAACATTTTGGAAGTTAGCATCTGAAGCACAGATGAGTTCTATGGGGAAAAGACATTACATGACTTAAACAGACTCGACAGTATTTCACCCTATCATAAGGTTGGGTGAAGGTGGGGGAGAATCCAGGCAGCTACATGATGCTGTTTGTACAACTGTTGCCGTTGTCGGATCCAAGGTAGAAGTGGCAGGAAAGATCCTTAGAATACTTCTTGATGTAAAGACATTGGAAAATGATGCCTGCTATTTTGATATGGAAAACATCAGCAACCACTTGCGGGGCGGGGGGGGGGGGGGGGGGGGGGGGGGGGGGGTCAGTGTGGCCTGTGGTTAGAGCCCTGTCAATGCCACCCTAAAAGATGAAGTCAATTTCACACATTTATGGAAAGGAAACTTAAGGACCATCTGCCTGAAAAATGGGCCTGAACAGTCCCCTGAACAGTTAGATGAAAAACAAACAAAAACAAGAAAGAAAATTTAAAGTAAAGGCGAAAAGTTCAGTTCTTTAAAAATGCATCTGGTAGATGAAGAGGAGCTCCAATGAGGTTGCCACAGTGACTGTTGAAAAGGAACTGAGGAAAAGGGTAGAAACTCTCCAGGAAGATATGTGCTATGATGATGGGGAAAGTTTCCTACCAGTTTCCTACCAGAAGGTCCTCAGCTATAGAAGTTTCCGGAAGCAAGACGTTGCACAGATGCAGAACATTTATGTGTGATGGACAGCAAGCACAGAGGATGTTACCCCATCATCTTTCCTGTAGGGACCCTTTAAGGCCTCTTGTATGCAAAGTCATGATTTGAATCTCATTTATATGGAGTAGAGGAATGTCTACAACCAGCACTCAGCAATGCTGCATGTCTGGTTACTTACACACTGGCTGTGCACCATCAGACAGGTCAGTCATCCTTGATCATCCACTGGAGAGGGGGGTGTGTATACGTGAGAGCAGCAGAAAGAATGAACACAAGAACACAAAAAGAACTATACCAGATCAGATGAAATGACTAGCTAGTCCAGCTTCCCGTTCTCATAATGGCCAACCAGATACCTGTCGTGAGTCCACAAGAAGCACATGAGCACAACACCATCTTTCCACTCATGTCCCTTAGCAACTTATATAGAGCCATCATGATTGCTGTTTCTGATAGCTTTATCTTTCATGTGTATTTGTGAGTGTGAGAAAGTGTTCAGCTGCACTGTTCTTCATGATCAATGGTGAATCCTTATGTACAGATGTACATGGAAGAGGAAACATCTCCTTCCATTGAGCAGAGAAGAGAGATTATTTCTTCTTTGCTCTCCAGACACAGTAAACAGAAGGCAACAAACAGCTAGAGCTGTATAGCAGCACTCAAGATGGTGCCTGTGCTAGCAGTTTCACAAACTCTGGTCCGTTCAGACCACCATCGTGTGTGTAATTATATTTTTCTCACATTTTCTGAGAGGCATATAGCATTGCATGGGTGAAGCAGAGGTAATTATTCCAGATTATTTAACATGGGGCTAAGTCCAGACTTAGGCTTAGAGTAGAGTCACTAAATTCCAGGTGAGACTTTTTTCGATTTCGAATTTATATCCTGCCTTTTTCCTACAAAGGACTCAAGGCAGCTCACATCATTCTCCTCCTCCATCTTATCCCCACATCAGCAACCATGTGAGGTAGGTTGGGCTGAGAGTCTGTGACTGGCCCAAAGTCACCCAGTTGGCTCCATGGCCGAGCGGGGACTCGAACCTGGATCGTCTGAGTCCCAGTCCCACGCTCTTAACCACTGCACCACACCAGCTTAAATTAGTTACAACTATCTTGTCCTGCCAATTTCAGTGGGCCTACAAATAGCATGACTAATGTGCACAAGGTACAAGGGTGCGGTCTGGCAGAGGTGGGATCAGACACAGTTGTGATTTGTCCTCCTTGCATTATTCTATTGTAATAGCAGTCAATGAGGCTATTTGCATAAGTCAAGCAATGTGTGAGCTAGTTCCATATTGTGGCACATGAACCACTTGGCACTGGAGAAGTTCAAGATTGCAAAAAAGACCATTGTGTAAGGAAAACTCCCAGAACCATTTAATGACTGCTTGCTTTTTTCAGACACAATAGTTGGCTTCAGTTGCATTGCATTTGTGATAGTCAGGGGATCCTCAAAGAGGATTAAATAACTATAAGAGCTGTCAGGATAAAATAACTTGACACATAATGAACATGTGTGATAAAAGGGTGGTGTTGAATACAAAGCCAATAAATAGAAGGTTTTTCTTGTTAACTGGAATTTAAGATGCTTTTTTTCTCTTAGCTGTGAGTCTTCACAGAGTCACATTCATTACATAAAGAGCCATAGGATAAGCTGTTTGAATCTGGCTGTATTTTGCTCTTCATCTTCTTCCCTGTGGGATTAAAATAACAACAATAAAAAATGCTTGGAGCAATGCTGATAAATTAAATCTAACAAGTTTAATTATTTTCCTCTTAAAAGGTTTCTCACCACAGGCTTCACTTTGTTTTGCTATGATAGACTGTGGCAATAGGATGGAAATAATTCAAGATTTTCTTTTCAAAAAATCAAATGGAAATAGCAAAAGAAAACAAGTGAAAAGCAATTTTTATTAAAAATGATTGGAACAGTTCTCTGATGTGGTTTTCCTCTTAAGCCATTCCACTAATGGACATTTTTCAGCTGTGTGAATATGGATAAGAGGCAAAACATTTCCAGGGTCAGACTTACCAGGAATGTGTCCATAGTCAATATAAAAACTCGTCAGAGGTTCATTGCCTCTGTTCTGGGTGATTATAAACACCCCAACAAAAGACAGAAAGCACCTGCAAGAAGAGTTATCAAAGTTATGAGATCATGCAGCACCATCATTTGCCTTGCAAACAGACTTTTCGAGCAAAGAGAACACACAGGGGAAACACAGGGTGCAGCCCCACATCCTCCCAAGCACTCGTGGGATTCCTCGGTGTCTCAAAGTCTCCAGCTTTTTCAGAGTCCCAGCGTATCTCACCTCACCTTAAAAGCCATAAATTTATCCCAGCATAAGTGTTGGTGGACTACGGGCACTTCATCAGAAGGACGAAGTGTTCTGATTGCACTGGGGCTGTGGGCTGGTATAGAGATGCAGTGAACAAAGAACCGTTCTGCTCGCCTCAGCCTCGCCCTCCACAGCACGTGCTCCACTGTGACCCCCACTGCCACCAGCTATGCTGGTTAAATATCATGGCTGTTGTAGTCCAACACATCTGGGGGTGACCAGGCTGGCAAAGGCCACCTTCACACCGAGTTGAGGGAAGTATTTCAAAGGATAAACTTACCCAAATAGAAACATGAAACCGCTCAGCAGAACTGCACCTTGGAATTCCTGATAAAATATGGCCCCTGGATTGAAACAAAAAGCCAAAAGAGCACTTCTCGAATGGCACTTAGACTTGATAGGAAACAAACCTATTCTCTCCTTAGCCAACAAAGGGAAATAGCAAATATGCTCTCAATCATGTAAAAAGCAGTAGGCTTGGATCCAAAAAAAGCCCTTCTGAGCAGCTATGGTACTTCCATACACACACTGAGGGGCTGCTAATTGCCCTTTCCCAGATGCTGTCTCTTCTGTCACATCAAATGCTAGTCCAGTGGGCTCTCTAAGCTGCAAAATGGCTTTGTCTGGGTAGGACGTCCTATGACGAGAACAGCCATCTGAAAATCTCCAGTACATGAGAAGAATGCTACAATGTGGTTTTTTCCATTTTGCCATATGTAGAGCCAACCTAATTCTGACAACACTCATAGGCAAACTGAAAGATTTGTTAAATATATAGCAATATAGTTTCTATTTCTGTTTGACTCACAATTAAGTGTGCACGGGCCAATCCAAATCAAGACAACTGTGCATGTGTGCAAGATGTTTACACTCCACCACCACCTCTTGATCCAGCCATATTACCCAAGACCTGATGAATTGCGGATAGATCTTGATCTGCAATTAAAACTTTAGATGGTTGTCTTGCTAGTTAACAGCCTAACCCTATGCCTGTATGGATATGCTGCCTGGGGGATTCTGGGAATTGTGGGGCTTTTTTCTTTCTAAAGATGCATAGGATTGCAGCCAAAACTGATGAAAACCAAAAGGATTGATTGCCACACCAAGTTTCATGCTGATTTGCCAATCGTAAAGATACTCAGTGTTAAGCATCAGGTGAGCAGTGCAGCATAACCTCCATCACAGAGTGCCAAGGCCAGATGAACCACTGTGGATACACCAAGTTAATATATGCCTCTTTCTACTGCTTATGGTTTGTTATGCCATTGCACTAAATGGCACATCTGCCAATTTCTGCTGGCAGGTATGTATGCCACTGGACTGGGAACATTTCCTAATGATAACCGATTTGCAGAGGAGCATTCTGAATGCCTAGTAATTAATTATAATGAGAACTGGTTCAAATTGACAACCCTGACAGATAAAGCTAATGGTTAAGACCTTTCATTATTGTTTTTAATGGGCCTTTATGCAGGTCAAATTCAGTATGAGTAAGGATATTTAGGAGTTGGCCTAGAAGCTAACAGAATCAAATTCTCCATTTGGTTACATCATTACAGCTGTTTTTGGGTCAATCTTTCCTCTGGATTGTACAGCACAGACCTATTTTAACCCAGCTGCTGAACCAATCCATATTTTTAAGCTTTGGTGAGCTCCGCATAAGTAATTGACATAAACTAATGGAATTTCTGTATGCACATCTCCTGAAAACCAATGACAGAGCAGCCCCCTGTGTGTGTTAAAGGGGTCATAAAAGTTATAGTAACAATAACTTTTTGGCTCGCTGCAAATGCAGCCTATTGGTCCCACTGTGCTTGCTTGCTCTTACCACAGTGTGCAATTGTAGGGAATTGGAGTCTCCTTTCAATCATATCCAGTTCAAAAGTTCTCACCCAAGATAAAATGTTAATAGCTTAAAATGGCTTTGGATTCGTTCTAATTCCTTTGCCTTAGCTGAGCACGTCCAGCCTGCCGAAACAGAATACACTCTCTGGCTGCTATAGAACACAGCTGGTTGTTATCTTGGGGGCTTGCCCCTTTGCTGAAATGACTTTAGCAGGTAAGAGAATGAGAAACCAGCACACACATTGAAAAAACATTCACTGAATGTCACTGCAGGTACCTCTTATAAAGCCATACAACAGGAGCAATGGGGACCGTCAACCCTGAGAAAATGACACTGTGATGACATTGAGTTTTGCTCCCCTATGAATCAATGGTCATATTCAAAATACATGTCCAAATCTTGGGCATGTTCCAGAAGCACTAAAGTGCTTTAAAGTCCCATTAATTTCAATAAGAGAGTCAGAAATCAGAGCCCTCTTTTCAGCATATGCCTTGATGGCAGGGCAGGAAGAATAATGTTGTCTCCTGTTTCTCTTTAAAAAAAAGAAAACTGAAGCTACTGAGCCAGTCTAGCTGGCTTCCTTTGTGGATGAGGACTGTGATGCAGAAGCTGTAAGATCCTGGCCTCTCCTTTGTCCTCTTTCTCCACCATCGTCTCCCCTTCTGGAACTCTCCAAGGTCTCCTGAGATCACTGCAGTTCTTTCCCTGGTGGCTGTGCATGGGCAGGGATGGCAGGGCAGGGATGGCAGGTCAGTCTGATGTTGGCTTCTCCTTCCTGAGGTTGCAGAATTGACTACAGGCTGGGGAGTGGGACACAGACATATCCTCTGGTCCCTGCGATGCTCTCCCTGGGACCAAAGGATTGCTCTGTCAATTCTCTCCCAGTGCAGTCAATAGGATCTAAAATGTGCTTAATGTTGTCTTCATCATGTCCTTCATACATTATACTAGGAAAATGTTCATCAGACTGACAAGCAGTTGAGAGCAGTCCCATATATTCTGGAGACTCCTAATCTCTGCATTCTGCATGCAGATATACCCCTCTAAGGGCCTCTGTTGAGGTCAGGCCACTCTAGCGTTAGAAGCTGAGGAGGAGGTGGCATAAGATTTTGCCCCCGTGATTCCCAATGTTCTGTTTGGACTGGAGTCCAGTCACTTGGGGCCTAAATGTGCTCCCTGTGCTATGTATTCCCTCCATCCCCAATTTCCTACAAAACAGGAAGAGGTTCCTTTTGCATACGTGGTTTAATGTTTTGGTTAATGATCAGCCATTGACTTTCTCTCACCCAAGTCAATGAGAGACAGTGAGAACCAAGCATGCTCCTATTGGCAAAGCTCGGCTCACTTCCTATTGCTAAGACAAGAACACAGATCAGCCTTTGTTGAAGCTAGGAATGATGAGAATTGTAGTCTAACTCATCTGGAGGGCCCCAGGTTGGGGAAGGCTAAGCTATACCATGACAAAAAGTGGAAATTCAAGAGCCAGCTTTTACAGAGAGAGTGACAGCTCTATAAAAATCACAAGAGGAAGGCATCACATCACCTGTTTTCCCAATTAAAGTTTGGGGTGAGGAGAGAAAGCTTTAAAGTGTGCGCTAACCTGTCAGAATAGCACTAATAGTGAAGAACACATAGTTCATCGGGATGACTTCTGCAGCAGCATAGAGATTCATTGCTTTGTTCAAGAACCTTGTGAGAAGAAAGTTGTGTTAGTAAGAATTCTCAGCCTATGCCAATTGCATTTTCATTACCAATCTGACAATTTTTCTTTTTACACTCCAAAAAAGCCCAATGCATATTCTGAAGGCAGCTCATCTTGGTCTGTCTATTGCCTGTTATTAAAATAGAGAAGAAAACTCCAGAATCACCAGAATTCATCATACAAGCAAGATCTCAAGTAATATTTTAATGCAGATTTTGTTCTAATGACTTTGCCCGGTCTAGAACCAAAATTCTTCATACTGCACAGAGTACTGCATAGACTTTTCATGTGGCATAGAGAGAGACAGCATGATCCTCTGCATATTTCACTCAAAAGTCAGGCCCACTTTGTTCAGTGAAGCTTATCTCCAGGCCAGTGGGCACAGGATTGCAGCCTTACCCCCTTCCTCTTGCAAAAGGGGAAATCTCTAGATTTAATTGTTGGTTTTACATGTCTGGAGGAAAAACAAGAAATGTGTTTACTTTTTAAGGGTTCTGAGGATTGAGATAAATTATCCTGAATAAATAAATTCCTAGGATAAAATCCGAATATTAAATACTATGGCAGGACCCAAAGAGGTACTTCACAGGCCTTTCTGAATGGCTTTCTTTGAACACTAAGCATTCATACTAACATGACAAGCTACTGCTGAAAGTTTCAAAAGCTATTTGCCTTGCAGCATCAAGCTCAGAGCAGATTCAAATCCCCACACAGATACGTTGGGCCAGTCAACATCTTTCAGCCTAATTTACACCACAGGATTGATGTGAGGAAAAAGCCCAAGTGGGAAAGCCTTGTACGCTAACTTAAGCATCTTAAAGCATCCTTCTCCAACCTGCTGACTGATCTCCCCTCTCCAAATGCAACAGACAAACTTTGGCCATCCGGGCAAGAAATTATGGAAGTTTCAGTCCAACAACATCTGCAGGGTCATATATTCCCCACCACTGCCTTAGAGGAAAGGCAGGATTTAGTTGTAATACCTAAATGCTATTTGAAAACGCATGATAAACAGCTCTTTTGGGTGCATGGAACTAGTTAACAAGATGCTATGAATCCAGTACTATTTCCAATGCTATTTCCAGTCGAAAGATCTGAAAATGTAATTAATCATTATTATTCTGTACATTAATCATGGTACAGAATAATACAAGTGGACAATCAGGTGAGCTAGAGAAATTCTTGGTTTAGCATTTTACCTGTGCTACAAACTATCTCTTAGCCTTGCCAAGCAATCCATAATGTAGGGGTGAGACCTGAAAAACTGGAGAATTGCTTGCAGTCAGAGTAGCCAAAACAGCAAGAACACTGGAAATGCCTTATACATTGTGAAACCAAAAGTCCTAGTCTAACACAATCCTGCTGACACAGACCGGCAGCAGCTCTCCGGGGATTGCTGGACAGTTTTCTGCACTGTTTAGAGATGCTGGGGATCAAATGTTAGAACTTCTACATATGAACCACTAGGCTTTGGCCTTTGTAAAAGATGGACCTGATATGAGACAGTTTCCTATGTTATCATGATAATTAGTCTGACCCACCTGTTATAGCTATTGTAAATTTCTGTGTTAATACATGTAAAACAACTTGGGCACTGCATTGTATAGTGGCCATTGGTTTCCACCCTGATCAGGCATGGAAGGCACTTGCATGGGATGCCAAGCTGCCCTGTGAATGACCTACGCAGGGTGGGTTGTTCATGGAACAATCCACAGAATGCCTGAAAGCCAATCAGGCTCCTAAGGCTCGTTCTCTCCCGCCTTCCCTCTTGGGCCTGCAGCTGGTATCCCAGTATCTTTTGCAGCAAATCCTGTCCTGGCTCCAGCTTCCCACTCCAATACCTGCTACCTTACCTTTACATTTCCTTTTTTTTTTTTTTTTTTTGTGGGATGCGTGAATGTATTTTTGGGAGTTTCAAAAAAGCACAATTGGGGCTGCATTTTAAAAAGTTGCCGCTGAAAACTGCACAAGTGTGTCTATTGATTCTTATGGTTGTGTTTCACTGGTCTGATGCACACTTGGCATTGTCTTGCCTTGTCAACAGCCTTGTAAGTTTCAGATGTCAAAGGGACCAGTGACTGCTTCCCCAGTTGGGCACCATTCACTCAGTCCAATGCAGCTGCCTCCCTGTTTTGTTTTTAACCATCACTGGCCTGCAATAACTGCAGCAGTAAGTGCTCTGAAGAACAGGAGGATAGTATCTCCCCTTTCTGTGGTCACTGAAAACCCAGGAAAGTGCTGAAATGGTAGAGGTCACTGAGAACAGAGAATTGCATTGCTGCATAAGGGAGTAATATTGCTTCCGTCTCCTTTTGGTGCACTCACTTTCACTGCTTTTCCTCTTTACTTTTCAAAGGTCAGCTAGGCAATTCAACTATGTGTAAATCAGCCTATATGCAGCCTTGCTTTGCCAATCCAGGACTTAGTCCACTTCCCTCTGAAAGCTGACATCCCGGACAGCCATACGTGTACACTTGGCAAAACACTGCCAAAAACATTAATTAAAAAAATGCACAGTTGCGCACTTTCCAGCTGAGTTAACAGCAACAATAATAATCAATAGCTTCTATTGTACTTATTTGAAAAGAAATAATTAGAACAACAACAATAGCCCCAATGGAAGAGCACACCGATGATGGCTTCCCAAATGACTGATTCATCACTGGGTTTTTGCTAGTTTCTGCAACTTACGATGGATGGGCACTATAGCCAGTCCCTGAAATGCAAGATAGAATCAGTCTCCCAAGTTCAGAAGACAGAACCCACCAAGCCATGCATTAACATAACAACCCATCACGATTAGTTACCCGTGATGAATTGTCATGGCATGGAAACTCCAATCCTGATGTATTTTACAGTGTGAGTCAGTATCAAGTATTTTCTGATCATCGGGGCCTCCATTCATCCATTTCAGTTCTATGGATTGATAGAAAGGGGTGGACAACTTGTACTTCTGTAGACATTTTTG